TGAAAGAAGTTTGATTATCCATATGTTAAACAGCCTGTTTACGAAAGGTTGAGTTATCCCAGGAAAATCCTATATTTTCCTTAAAAGTTGATAGTTGGTTATCGATTCTGAAAATGAGGTGTACAAGTATCTACCATACTTGTATCGTTAGATGTAGTTTCCTTGAAAAACTCTGTTTACTCTCTGTGAGATGTATTAGCCTTATTACATAAATAAAACTAATAAAGAAGTAGTGAACTAGATCCTAAGAGCATTATTAATGCCCTTTAGTAATCAAATCGGTTATTACTTTGAGGTTAGTTCACTTGTTTCATTATTACAAAAGTAAATCTCTATTATCTAGGTTGCGAGTTTTATAACCATAATTAAACTAGATGTGGCACGTAACGGGGCCAGTATCCTTTTATGACTTTGTCACCCGTAGACCTAACGGTCCCACTGTAGCTAGCAGCGAGGTGCGGGATAGTCAGTCCCGTATAGATCTATACACAATAGTCACGCTCTCCCTACAAGAGATTCTGGTTATAAGGGCTAGTCCTACACTCACGAATCTGGTGGAGTGTTACCAAGGACGTGTCTCTAGTCCTAAAATAACAAACTTACAAGTAATAGTACCGAAAATCCTATTTATGTTTTGTATAAATCCTTTATAAAATATCACATTTTATGATAAGATTTACAAGTTCCTTGCTTTAGTTTTGAAAACTGTTTCTACGAGTTTGATTTCTTAATCGATTGGTAAACGGTTTTCTGAGTTTAAAAGCATGCTAAACATATAATCATTCTATGCAAAATGAGATAACTTGAGCACAAGTTTCCTTGTACTTTTGCTTGTATTCCCCCCCCTGAAAACATGAAAAACTCGGAAAAAGCGTAGGGGTATGAACTCACCTGAAGTGAGTGATGCGAATGTAAGATCGGAAAAAGGATGCTAAGTGTCAAGTGAAGTCTTGAGCACACGTACGGATCTCTTTAGCATATAATGACAATATATGTATACAATTAGTGTTTACTCAACTAATCAGGTAAAGAATAACAATTTAAGGACTAAGAAATCCTTAATGGAAGTGTTACAATCACTTAGGATTGCATAAGGGGGTTGTAAAGCCACTTAAGGGGAGTTTTCGGTCCAAGTGGTTTTCGGTCCATGAAGGGTTTTCGGTCCATGAAGGTGACCGAAAACTCATGATGTTTGGTGCATGTGGTGATTTTCAAGGGCTTTCAAACATGCATAGGGGTTCTAAGTTTTATCGAAAGCCTTAAGTGAGTTTTAAGGTCTTAAAGGCACCTTTCTTTAGGGTTTTCGGTCAAAGAGAGATGTAACATACCGAAAACTCCTTTTGTTCTTGGAAAATGACGATTTCAAGGCCTTAAACAAGAGTTTCAACTAGATAATAAGTGCATAAAGTAATACTTACGATTTAGAGGCTAAAAGAGTTGATTTTTGGACCAAAACACTAGTGTGTGTTATTGGTGTTCTTGAAGATTAAACCCAAAAGATGAAGTTAATAGGTGAAATCGAAGGGGGATGCTAGTTAGGAAGATCTATCAACGATTCAAGTGAAAGAAACACTTACATGTTTTCGAGAACTTGAAGATCAAAGTGAAGAATTCGATGATACTTGAGAGAGAATTTTCGAGTTATAGACTGTAAAAGGGAAAGAATGATCAAAATGATCATGAAATATATATGTAAGATGGAGTTTCGGTCACCTTGACTGAAACTCTAAGGTCTTGATTGAAAACTCCTTTTTGAGGAGGTTTTCGTTTTGCTTCATGTCTAGAACTTCAACAAATTCATCCTAACCCCGATTCTTTTGATGCATTAAGTTTAGAATATTCCGTTAGTCCAAAAATAATACTGACGTGAACAAAATAAATCCGAATTGATTTATTTAAATGCAAGGGTCTTTCCAAACTATAAATTTTCACGGAATTAAATAAAAAACCCGAATTTGATTAACGGAAATTGAGTAAGGATAACGGAAAAAAAAGTTTCGGGTTGTCACAATTCACATCGTGACTTTTGATCCTGGTCATCCCCTAGGCTTGCCGTGTGTCTTCTAGGCTCGAAAGGTTTCGTTCACTGAGTTCACGTCGTGAACGCTGTGTTCACGTCGTGAACATAGTCAGGTCTCGAAGTTTGTACTCTGAACTTCAGAAATTCATATCTTTCGCATACGAACTCCGTTTTTGACGTTCTTTATATCCACGCGTAGGTGAAATTATGCTCTACAACTTTAGTTTAGACTCCATCGGCTAATTTTGACTTTATTTTTAATATTATATTAATATTATATTTTTAACGGGCCGGGACAGGAAAAGTCCGTTAAAATTTCATAACTTCTTCATCTGACGTCCGTTTTCGTATGTCTTTTTACCGTTGTACTACTATTGACAAGACCTTCGATTCTCATTTAGGTTGTGTCGGCTAAAAACCGCTCGATCTATTATTCGAATTTCGGGCTGCATATTGCTAAGCCGAAACTTCGAAAAATCATAACTTCCTCATACGAAGTCAGATTTGGGCGTTCTTTTTATGCACGCTCTCGGTTTAACGTATTCTACGACTTTTCGTTTAGATTGCTAAGGCCAAATATCGCTCTATCGTAATTCACTATTTACGTCGCGCTGTGTCGTGCCGGTTCTGTCGCGAAACTTCGACATGTCATAACTTCTTCGTTATAACTCGGATTTCAACGTTTTTTATATGTACGGAAACCTTGTGACATATACTACAACTTAGTTAAGACTATTTATTCTAAATAATCCTCTATTAAAAAGTCATTTTTGACGCTTATCGTCTCTAAATTGACTAGCCCGAATCTGCGGGCGTTACACCGAGTCACACGTGTCCAGACTCGAAGGGGAAAAACCCTAACCGGCTCATCTAGTTGGCTCATCAACTCGACGAGTCCCTTAAGTTTATTTTCTCATTCAGACGTTTTAAGGCAGAGTTACAACCCCATACTCTAGATCTAGCCTCCCAAGGCTGAGATACCACGTAAAGCTGCAAGCTTTATGTCCATGCATGGCACTTAGGGCTTGAAATGCCAAAACAAGTTCCATTTAGAGTCCTAAGCATAAAAGCTTTCCTCTAGCTTGATAAAGCTTGGACCTTTGGGCTTAAGGGACCTCACAAGGTCCAGATCTGAAGTCTCAATCTCTGGGCAAGCTCAAAATACTCAAAGTCTCAAGGAAAGATGGAAAAAGCCCTAAAACTTCCTAAACACGAGATCTAAACAAAATAATGAGCAAGGTGGTGACTTTTACCTTCAAATAGAAGCTAAGGATGCATAAACACCAGATCCAACAGTCCCTTCTCATTCCAAGCCTTGATACTTTTCTCTTCTCCTCCAAAAGTGCACAAGAATGCTCAAAGTTAGCCCTCTCTCTCTCTCTCTCTCTCTCTCTCTCTCTCTCTCTCTCTCTCTCTCTCTCTTTTAGATCACTCTAAACGATTAGGGTTTCACACAGGGGAGTAAGGTGACATGGGAGGCGGAAATGAGGGCTTAAGGTCCTTTAAATATGACACAACCCCGAGAAATTAGGGTTTCCTCTCACAGGACCAACTCGTCGAGTTGGTGCATCCGACTCGTCGAGTTGGTCGTAAAACCCATGCGGCCCAAACCCTTCTCTACTCGATGAATTGGAGCCTCCAACTCGTCGAGTTGCTCAAAGAAAATCATGAAAATTATAAAAATATAATACCTAGGAGTCGGGATGTTACACATTTCCAATTGACAAATTTCCACCCAAACAATTATATACCTAACGATTTCCATGAGACCAAGTCCACTCACCAGACAATCTTTTTACAATATGTAAATTATTTTGAACATCAATAACTATAAAAATTATGTTGAACATCAATAACTATAAAAATTATGTTGAACATCCGTAACAACCAAATAAAAAAGTAACATCCCTAGAAACAGAGAACACACAACACCCACAGATTGTCTCACATCGCTATCGTCAACTATTTCAATTACATTATGCATTTGATGATATAATCTTATCATGTTATGTTGTATTAACTTTGCTAACCACAACTCAAACCAAATCAACATAATTCATATTTGCTGGCGAATCTATACTAGATTACTTCATTTCAATGTATTACATAACACCATTTATTCTTTTCCATGCTCCTCCAAGTATGCAAAGCACCTCTACATTCTTGTCACGTTTAATCCATTAACGATTTTGTTTAGGTTCTAAGTTGTGTTTACTAAAACATTGTCTTTTAGCAAATGATAAGAAGTTTCCAATTTTCAAAGTAAATATACCTATTTTGAAAAATGTATTGCCACCATCATATAATCGAAAAGTTTTATACATGTTCGGATATTTGAAGTACAAAAAAAAAAAAAAAATCAAAAATCAATTTATTTTAAAATTTTAAAATAAAAGGTTTAGTTTTTACCTCTTGGAAATTGCCAAAGTCATTTCATAATTTTCGAACTTATGTGGTCATTAGTATGTAATATGGGAAGTGATTTGTACCAAAATGTTTTTTTTTATCCTTAATAATTTATGTTTTATAAAGTTGTAAATTATAATATCTTAAAACATAAAATATTGTGTTGTGTTTGAATTGCTTCCATATAATATATATATTTGATTTTATGGTAACTAAGATGATCTATATCTTTTGTCTCAAAATATTATATATATATATATATATATATATATATATATATATATATATATATAGAGAGAGAGAGAGAGAGAATTTTCAAATGGAATAATTTATTGAAGAAAAAACGAATTTCTTTCATAATATTGTGTTTCTCCAACCTCATGAGCATTAAATCTAACTACTATATTACCCCTAGGTGTTGATCCGCCAAATGTTTGTGGTTTGACGCGTTGAGCTCTCCACGTCAATGGTTTTCAAAATCCTTTACTATTCCAACAACCCACCGTATTTGAATTTTGATCATATTGTATTACATAATTACATATTTGCCCTTTACACGTACTCAAATACAAATATGGAATCTAACCAAACCAAAAAACACCGACTTTATTTGCTGGCGTTATTAGGTTTTAATGCATTTGTACATGTGGGGGTGGAAAAATCAAAAACTCTATTAGAGAAGGGTACTTTTTGTAATATGGCCAAATATTAGGGGAGGTTAGTGCGACATTTTCTAGCGGGTTAAAACATAAGTAATAAGTTTACGAAAGGGACGCTAAGTGTCATTATTTTATATCTCAAGGGCAAAATCAAACACTTTCCACAAGTATATAAACCTGTCCCCGCTTTCACTGATTTATCCTGCACATTACTTGACAGATCTCTGTAAGAGAAGCAAACACTCCCTCTGACGTCTGATTCACGATCAATCGATCTAAGAGGTAACAATTCGGCTCATGATCGTTTATAGTTGACTGAATTTTCGTCTTTTATCTGTTTTTTTTGTCAATTATCGATGCGAATTTAGTTGTCGGTGATCTAGAGGAACGGATCTATCATTTACTGTTGAGTGTGGTATTAATCCTTTTGTTTCTTCGATTATATCAATTTCTCGTGAAGTTAATTGAGTGTATATGCAAGATCCTTTTATTTTAGTGCTGTTTATGAGCTGAATTTTGGTTTGGTTTGTGTAAATCGGAAGTTTTTTCGTTAGATCTGTGATTTAGGTGTCGATTATAAATGCGGTGAAGGATAGATATTTACTTGTAATCGAATTACAGTGTTTTAGTTTTACTAAATCTGTTTATTCAGCTGTTAGCAGATCTGAGTGTTCTGTTCCATGCAATACTGTATATCCAGCTGTCTAAGTTGATAAACACAAATAGAAATCTTGTCGCTTTGAGTTTTCTAGGTTTTCAGGAACAGTAAATTTAACCGAAATTTTTCTCTGTAATTAGCGTTCCATGTTCAATTACATGTATCTTATGTTCATACGAATATCCATCTTTGTTTAATGTATGAAACTGCTAGCTAGATCACGAAATTGGGAGAGGGTTTAGTAAGTAAAAACATTTTTCCTCCACATATCAGGCATGCTCGCAACTGTATTCATAAATGCAGATCCTGTATGACTTTTTTGCACAATTTTTCGATACCTTTTTACATTGATCTTACATATGTTCTGATTCCGACTCTGATTCTTATTCCGATTCCGATTCTGATTTCAGATTCCTGGTTTACTGAAACAAATAGAAATGTTGAAGATCTGTTGCATTGGAGCTGGATATGTCGGGGGACCCACAATGGCAGTGATAGCATTGAAATGCCCCAACATTCAAGTGGCGGTGGTGGACATTTCAGTCCCCCGTATCACCGCCTGGAACAGCGACACGCTCCCGATCTACGAGCCAGGCCTAGACGATGTTGTAAAGCAATGCAGAGGCAAAAACCTCTTCTTCAGCACCGATGTAGAAAAACACGTATGTGAAGCCGACATAGTCTTCGTCTCAGTCAACACCCCGACAAAAACCCGCGGCCTCGGTGCCGGAAAAGCCGCCGACCTCACATATTGGGAATCCGCTGCCCGCATGATCGCTGACGTGTCAAAATCCGACAAAATCGTCGTCGAAAAGTCAACCGTCCCGGTCAAAACCGCCGAAGCCATCGAAAAAATCCTCACACACAATAGCAAAGGAATCAACTTCCAAATCTTATCAAACCCCGAGTTTCTCGCAGAAGGAACCGCAATCCAAGACCTTTTCCACCCCGATCGCGTCCTCATCGGGGGACGCGAAACGCCAGGTGGACAAAAAGCAATCCAAACGTTAAAATCCGTGTACGCGCACTGGGTCCCGGAAGAAAACATCATCACAACAAATCTATGGTCCGCCGAGCTTTCGAAACTCGCCGCCAACGCGTTCTTAGCGCAACGTATCTCCTCCGTGAACGCCATGTCAGCGTTATGCGAGGCGACCGGCGCTAACGTGTACCAAGTCGCGTACGCGGTTGGAAAAGACACGCGAATCGGTCCGAAGTTTTTAAACGCGAGTGTAGGGTTCGGAGGATCTTGTTTCCAAAAAGATATTTTAAATTTGGTTTACATATGCGAATGCAATGGTTTACCTGAAGTTGCGGAGTATTGGAAACAAGTGATTAAAATTAACGACTACCAGAAGTCGCGATTTGTAAACCGTGTTGTCGCGTCGATGTTCAACACGGTTTCGAATAAAAAAATCGCGATACTGGGGTTCGCGTTTAAGAAGGATACGGGGGATACGCGGGAGACACCCGCGATTGATGTGTGTAAAGGGTTGTTGGGGGATAAAGCGTGTGTGAGTATATATGATCCGCAAGTCACGGAGGATCAAATCCAACGGGATTTGACTTTGAATAAGTTTGATTGGGACCATCCGATTCATCTCCAACCGATGAGTCCGACCGCGGTTAAACAGGTGGCGGTTGTGTGGGACGCGTATGAGGCGACGAAGGGTGCGCATGCGATTTGTATTTTGACTGAGTGGGATGAGTTTAAGAGTTTGGATTATCAGAGGATTTATGATAATATGCAGAAACCGGCTTTTGTTTTTGATGGGAGGAATGTTGTGGATCTTGAGAAGTTGAGGGAGATTGGGTTTATTGTTTACTCGATTGGGAAGCCGTTGGATGCTTGGCTTAAGGACATGCCTGCTATTGCTTAAAACTAAAACGACGTCATTTTCGGTTCGTTTTTGTTACTTTTTAAGTAGTTAAAAAAAGTGATCGCCTTTTCGTATATCTGTCTTTTTTTTTTTTTAAGAAACTTTATGTTTTACTTTTTACATTACATTACAATGTGTATCAGATTTTGTGCGAAGTATTGTGTAAGAGATGATATTGTTGAATTCTTGGACTATTCGTTTTATATAACATATCCTTAATTTTGTGAATTTTATAATTGAGACCCCATAGTGCTATGGCTCCTTTTTATCCAAAGAAACCTAATCTTCATCAAATTCTTCCAATGGCAATCTAATAATAAAGGTGGAATCCACCTGAAAATAAAAGCAATTTTTTTGGTTGAAATTGCATCACAATCATTGATACCACTTGAAAGAACACGGTTTGAAGAAAAGTTGCAGAAACATTCAACAAATATGGGTTATAAAGATAATAAAAACATAATTGGTTTGCCTCAAAGTTTGTTTATTAATTTGCACTAAAGAGAAAAATGATGGATATTAGAAAAATTAGTCCATTAATTGGTTTTAATTATCAGTTTAGAAATGCTCATTTGAATGGATTGGAAAGCTCTACAGCAATTACTGTTATCAAATCCTAAGTATATGAAACTTCATAAAAGTCTCAAGTAAAAATTAAAACAATAAACACATGGGAAACGTTGAAGTTGTATTTCATATGATTTGCTTGACAAAACAAAACAAAAACAAAATTGTATTTTATATAGTATACTTGACGAAAATACAAAGAAATTGAATATATGTCGTAAAAATTGTATTACGGGCATTTGAAGTGTTGGGTTGCAACAAAACAAGTTAAGCACTTCAGACAAATATAAAAACCAAACTTCGGTGAATTTGCGGAATTAAAACTTCTAAAAAACGTAAATTAAAGGAATACAATATTTAACGTGGTTTGGTCAAAGTGACCTACATCCACGTGCGAACGAGAGATAGATGATTTTATTAACTTCAAATAACAATTACAATCACACACAAATGTTACACCTCATTAGAGCTCTCAGAACAAAAGAATATCTCTTGCTTACTAACTGCTTCAAAGGAGTGCTTTCAACCTCACAATGATTACTCTCTTGAAATTTCTGCACACTTACAATGATAGAAATATGAAACTATTTATAGTGTAACATCCCGATTTCCCGATATCAGTTTAAAGCTTCAAGAGTCAAGTTTTAAAGGCGACTCGACGAGTTGATAGGCCAACTCGTCGAGTAGAGACCAAATCATCCGCGTGGGTTTTAGACCCTACTCGACGAGTTGGAGGACCCGACTCGGCGAGTAGGTGCTGGAAAGTGAAAACCCTAATTTTTAGGGTTTGCACCATATTTAAAGTCCTTAACTTTCCTCCTCAGCCTCCCTTGTCACCTTCACGTCCAGAGAAACCCTAATAGCTAGCTAGCCTCTATTCTTGAGTGTGTGAGACCAAAAGAGAGTGTATTGGAGCATTTCTTGAGGAGTTAAGAGCTTGGAACAAGGAAGAGCTTGTAGATCCAACCTTCCCAGTGTTGTGACAGCAAGATTGAGGTATAAAGCTACCACCTTTACATTGCATTGCTTAGATCTCCCTTTTTGGTAAAAGAAATGGTCATTTCTAGGGCAAGATGGGGTCACATCCGGGTTTAAGCTTGTCACAAGGGCATAGTTTCAGATCTTGACTTCCCAAGGCCTTATGGACATAAAGCCTCAAGCTTTATGAAGCCCTAGCCCTCCTTCATGTCCAAAACCTTCTCCTAATGCTATTTATGATTGTTTTAGCTTCATAGAACCTTGCATGCACGTAAAGTTAGCAACTTTACGTGATAGCAGCACCCTAAGAGCATAGATCTACTGTTTGGAGCTTTGGAGCAGCTTAAAATCATCTGAATGAGTGATGGACCGAATGGGACTCGACGAGTTGCATGGTCGACTCGACGATTCGGTTGAAGATTGGATGTATTGGGTTTTGCATGGACTCGGCGAGTCAGTAAGAAGACTCGACGAGTTAGTTAGGGTTCTTCCCGACTTTTGGACACGCATGGACTCGACGAGTTGGTTGGAACCTCGGCGAGTCAATTAGGGTTTTTATGGTTTTCTGAGTTTAGAAGGAACTTGATGAGTCAGTAGTTGGACTCGACGAGTTGGGTCAACATGGACTGTTGACCTTGACCTTGACTTGGACTTTGACTAGGGTTGACCATGTTTGACTTTTGAGGGTATTTGGTAAATGGGTATTTATGGAAATGGATCATTGGTGGTTATAGGTGTTGGAGTTTGGGGCAGTATTTTGGGAGCGTGATTTCGTGGTTCAGTTCGGCATTTCAAGGTGAGTTATCCTCACTATATCAACATGGTCTAAGGCACCAATGTCGGCCCTTATTAGATTTGTATCTGGGTTATTGCATGATATGCTTATTGATTTACATCCTGGTAGTTAGGATGGTGATATGCTTAGTGACCTAGTTAGGTCGGTATCCTGATATATAGGATGATGCTATGCTAGTGACCAGTTAGGTCTGTATCCTGGTTATAGGATGTTGTTATGATTGATGATCGGTTAGATCGGTTTGACTGTTATATATATGCTAGCGTATGATATTATGTGCACATGTTTGTTTGATTGGGGGTTGGGTTGAGGCGGTCATGCTTTGTGCTGAAGGCCAACATACCCAGGGCGGTCCAGATAGACTATAGGCCCAGGAGGGCATGTCAGTCAGACCGAAGGCCTAGCGAGCGGTCCAGATAGGCTGTAGGCCCTGCAAGGCGGTCCAGACGTGCCAAAGGCTCGGAGAGTGGTCCAGATAGGTTGAAGGCCTGCGGGGCGGTCCAGTCAGGCTGAAGGCTCATTATGCATGTTGTTTGCTTATATGTTTATATGATATGGTTATGATTATATGGCGTTGGTATTTTGGGGGTAACTCACTAAGCCTTCGAGATTACATTTATCGATTATTGTTTCAGGTACAGCGGATGACCGCGGGAAGGCGAAGGCGTGATCGTACACTTCCTCACATTTTATGATTTGGATTTTTGGGAACTCTGATGTTTAAACTATTTTGAAAACAAATTGTAATATCTGAATGGTTTTAAGTGTTTTAAAAAGTTTCAAATTTGGCATGATTTTTATGGGTGTTACAAGTTGGTATCAGAGCCTTGGTTTGAGTGAATTGGAGGAACACTCGTGTGAATCCAGTCTCAAACTAAGGAAAATATTTTTCAAAATGATTTTTAAATGGTTTTCAAAATAAGAAAAGGAGGATGCAGAGTGTACGATCAGCCGGAGCCAGTAAGTAGACCCCAAAATACCATGCAGTTACTTGATATTGTGATATGTTAGAACATCATGCTAGTACTAGGTTAGGGATCTTCAGGAATTGCATGATAGAATTGCCTGATTATATGATGCATGATAGCCTAGGGATTTCCTTATATGAAATTGACATCATTACTGTAGTTGCTTAGTGTATGCATCACGGCCGTACATTATTAAGATCTTATAACCTGAGAATGTTTGGTTTGGCTTTATTTCCTGTTCTTATATGATTAAGGGCTTAGGGTAGGACCAGGTATTCGAAAGTCTATAAGGTCCAGCGTTATGTATGGTTAGCATACACGAGTGTTGCAGGTTGGTGGAAGTTTCATGGGTGGGTTGTGAGAGGTCGGGAGGCCAGTTATGAGATATTTAGCATTCCTCTAGGAGTGAGGATTGAGCGCTCGCTATGTTTATGTATATTGTTAGGGTGTTGTGGTGATACTTGAGACAAATATGGGTAGGTGTGGAAGGTAGTATGGGCCCGTACTACTGAAAGCACGGGACCCATACGCGTAGCAAGGAAGTCACAACCCCTGGGGTTTAGTTGGGAGTTTGTTCCCGATTATTATATGGACTATACGAGATCTTTCTGGTGTATTATCAGAATGATGGTTACGAGACGTTTTGAGACCGGATCCGGATCAGGATCGGGAGCTGGCAGTCAGGATAGGCCGGTATTGTCAGAGGATCGTGTCAAGGAGATCATCCGGGAGGAGGTGATCGAGATCATTCGGGGACAGATTCCGAAGATGATTGGGTCTAGCAAGACCGTCATGGTTGAGTATTTTGACGGGCGCTATGCAGCCATTGCTGAGACGGCTGCGGCAGCAGCTTCAACAGCTGTAACGACGGCAGGGAGAGGAGCTGGTCGAGCTTTCCAGTACCGGGACTTGTTACTGGTACATATTCTGATGAGCAGAGGGCTGCAATTATCTGGGATCAGGGAGATGATCTGTACTCGTTATATTCCGCGGGTTGAGCGGGGGAGACTAGCACATGAGTTTCTGGATTTAAGGCTTCGGGGGTTTGCTCGAGGCCGGAATGCGTGTCGCGGGGACTCCGGAAGGGAGTGACGATTATGTTCAGCTGGGGGTTTTGCAGCTAGAAGTAGAATGGTTAATTGATGGATTGGGATGTCTTTTTCTAGGGCAAGGATTGTGCCCTTTCAGTTTTTTCGAGGTTGAAGGAGTGAGTAGGCTTGTGGCCCCATGATCAGGTTGTATTCCAGCTCGGGGTCAGTTAGTCGCCGGGGTTGGCGACATTATTTCAGCGCTGGTGAGCGCAGGTGGGTCGATATGGAATGAGTATCTTGTGAGGTGTACGCGATTACCGTCCCTACCCATTAGAGTTAAGACCCGATTCGCTTTGGATCTCTTGTATCGGGCGGTAAGGATTGATTGTGCGATCTATTGCACTTTTGGGATTGTAGACTATGTCTTGGGAGTAGTTGTAGCCCGGTTTAGGGCAGAGGTTGCTTCAGCTACTGCAGTTCAGTTGTGGACGATTGAGCTGGTGAGTGAGTCAGGGTGCGAACCTTGAATGAAATGATTTCTAGAGCGGGAGACTTGTTTGGATCATCTTGGGAAGAAGGGTATTATTAGGGAGGTCTGCGGACAGGGGTCCCACAAGATGGTTATTCAGTATTGTCAGGATCCAGTGGTTTTAGTAACCG